TTGTGTGTGTTATCTATGTCTGTGTCAGGTTACATATCTATGTTTGTAGCTGTGTGTGTTTCTTAATTTATGATGGGTGGTGATGATGTTTCTTGATAATGATAATGGATGGTGGTGATGATGATGATGGGTGGTGATTATGAAGGGTGGTAATGATGATGGTTGGTGATGATAATGTGTAGTGATTATAATGGGTGGTTGTGATGATCATGGGTGGTGGTAATGATTAGTGAGGTTATGATGATGGGTGGTGATGGTTATGGGTGGTGATGATGATGGGTTGTTGTGATTATGGGTGTTGATGATGATGGATGATTGATGATGGTTATGATGCATGTTGGTTGTGATGGTTGGGTGGTGGTGGTGAGTTGATAGTGATAATGATGATCGGTAATGATAATGGGTGTTGATGAGTAAATGAGCAACCACCAGACACATAACAGCAACAGAAGTAACTAAAGCAGCATCAATAACATCAGCAACAACAACAGCAACATCACATTTCGAGGGCGACGCTGCTACTTCTGATTCTGCTGCTTCTGCTGCTCGGCTATTTGTAGCCGGGCCCTGCTCTCGCGGGACCGCACACGTCTTTGGAAATGATTGCGATGATCATGTCTGAACTGAGAATTAAGTGACTAAATATTACTTTGTTTAACCATAACTGTATGTAGATTAGCGTCATCATGGCTCAGCGAATACTACTCATGAAGGAACTCACACTGTTTAATGACAGAAAGTGTAATACTTTTGGCTGCCCGTGTATGACAAGTCACCTTCCTTGTCGAGACGCATTTTAAACACAACACGGTCCTTAAATATATTGTTAAAATAACGTCTACACCCTATTCAACATGCAGCTCCAACTCGGCCATGAGCAACCCACAGCACGCGCAGAGGGAGGAGACCACGAGGGAGACGGCCTCAACTTGAAGAGAAAGTTGACAAACTCACGGATGCCATCACCCAGCTGCTGCAACGCCTGTCGGATGAGACGCTACGTCCCATGGCACCAACCAGGCGAGTAAATGAAGAGCTGAGCCCGAATCGGAGGCCCCTACCCGAACATCAGCAGCAGTAGATAGCGTGATTCTAATAGAACCACGTTGTTATTATAATAATTTTGATGCGATTCTAAACCGCGCACCTCCCAGGTTGCATTTACGACTCCCGATGTGCATCTACATATAACATACATTCTAGCTCAGTGTAATTCTAATACGACCATAGTGTAATTCGAATAATTTTAATCCGATCCTAATCCCCCAGTTCGCATATCCGACCCCCGGTTCGCATGTCCAACGGACATACATACCACATACATATGACCATAGTATGTATGTATGTAATATGCATACATATGTGCAGTGTGATTCTATTACGATCACATTGCGATTATAATACTTCTAATGATATTCTAATATTGATTTGAAGCTTTCGTGACTGCAGGAATTAATACTCGTTGGTTCTTTCGGTAAAGTCACGTAGGTAGAAATAAAACAAAGTAAATCACGTTTCGGACGAAACACAAGCGCCCGTCTTCAGGTGAGAATCGCGATATCCGCGATGTCTGCTGCGAGCAGCGCGATGTCTGCTGCAGACATCGTTTCGGGCGCTTGTGTTGCGTCCGAAACGTCGTTATTTATTTTGTTTTATTTATACCTACGTGACTTTACCGAAATAACCAAAGAGTATAGATATTCTAATACTGTCCCTCCGTTTACGGTCTTATAAATTATATAAAATAAACTAGTTTATATTCGTTTAATGTTATCTTTAAAGCGTTACAGTTTACATGTTTTAGAGTACAAGTGATCTCCAGTATACTTCGGAATTAGGGAACGGAACGTTGCTAAACTATTTATAACGGGGACCTTTCCCCTCTAGGAACACATGTTGATGGTGGAGACAGCCAAGACGTTGCCGGTTAAGGTCAGACTTGTGTTGCTGCAGTTGCTGCTGCTGCAGTTGCTGCTGCTGCAGTTGCTGCTGCTGCAGTTGCTGCTGCTGCAGTTGCTGCTGCTGCTGCAGTTGCTGCTGCTGCAGTTGCTGCTGCTGCAGTTGCTGCTGCAGTTTCTGCTGCTGCAGTTGCTGCTGCTTCTGCTGTTGCTGCTGCTGCTGTTGTTGCTGCTTAATATGCTTCAGTTCCAGTGGTGTTACGTGATGGGATAACAAACTTTGATTAAATACTTTTATCAAACGAGTCATTACAATTGTAACGATTCATTATTTCACGGGCTAATATTGGGTTTGTGCGATTATTTAACATATTCATACTGAATATTGTTATTTGATTCCATTGAGATGGAACATTCATCCAGCAGTGGACAGCTTGATCCTAATACCACCAAAGTGTTATTCAAGTAATTTTAATCCCATCCTGATCCTGCACCTTCCGTTTCACATATCCCGCCCTTGGTTCGCACGTCCATATTACATACATACATGTTACATACATACATGTTACATGCATGCATGTACCATGTTACATACATACATGTTACATGCATACATGTTACATGCACATATACTTACTACAAACAGATATGTTACATACAGACATGTTACATACTTACGACCGTAGTGTGATTCGAAGAGGACCACGGAGTGATTCGAGTAATTCGAATGCGATTCGAATATCACACTTCAATGTAGGTTGTTCTAATCTATAACACTAGTTAATTATGTTATTGTATAGTGTTATAATGTATAGCTCATAGGTTATATTGTTAGAGTTCACAAATTTAGAGTTTACTAACAATACTAATTTACAGTAATTTTTAGATTACTGTATATGTGAATGTTTTTAAGTTACCATTGTTGAAGTTCATAATGTTAAAGTTCACAGTGTGAGAATTTACAATGTGAGAGTATATCCAAGACGTCGATCGATGGCGTTGGTCTGGTAGGTTGGTGTCACGGGACACCAACATGCTGCCGATATAACAGTAACAGAAGCAACTACAGCAGCTACGAAACCATTCGATGGCAAATCAGCGACTTCTTCTTCAATCTGAGAGTTTGTGGCCGTGCTGTTCTCGTGGGACCCGACACGGATTTGGAAATAATTGCTATGATCATGTCTGAGCTGGGATGAGCGACTAATGTTTACTTTGTTTAATCATAACTGTGTGTAGGTTAGTGTCATCGGGGCTTAATGAATACTACTCATGAATGAACTCATACTTCTTTCGGATATAAATTGAAATCGTGTTGGTAGAACAAGTCGCCTGCCTTTTCTAGACGAATTGTTATCTTCAAGTGCGTCCGAAAATAAACTGCTAATATACACAGCATAGGGAAGGCTGCCTTGTTCGAGAGATGTAGTTTGGCTAAGGCGCTGTGGCCGGGTGATGACACGGATTCTGAAACAATGGAGTTAAACACTCGCTGCTTGGCCCCGTCGACAGCAGCGAAGGTTGTCATATACCGCCCCATTTACGAGTTGGCTCTTTGGGGCTGTATGTGAATAGTTGAAGGTGCTCGGTGGTGTTTTCTTCTAACAGCTACTAACGTGCGTGTGTTGTCTGTTTTTAGGATTTGTCCATAGATTTTGTTCTTTTTATTGCGGCGTTTTTTTGTTAAGTTCTGTCACTTGAGTGTAGCAATTTGTTTAAAAATTCGTCACGTGAGCGTGGTGTTTTGCTTGTGGGAATTTCGCTTTGTCACAATTTGTGATTGTTATAATAATTGTAACGATTCATAATCTCATGAGTTTATAATGGGTTTGTGCGTGTATTTATATAAATATATTCCGTCTTTTGTTATTCGATGACATCTAGCAGTGAAAATCGTGATTGTCATATGACCATGTTGTAATTGTAATAATTTTTATCCGATCTTTGCACGTACACTTTACATACATATGAGCATAGTGCGATTCTTATATGACCACACTGCTTTTAATGATTCTAATGATATTATAATACCTTACCTCCGTTTATATGGTTATAAATTAAAACACTAGTTTATAATCGTTTAATGTTTAGTGTTATCGTTTATAGTATTACAGTTTACATGTTATAGAGTTCAGTTTATCCCCGACATACTTCGGGATTAGTGACTGGTACGTTGATGAACGATTGACTACGGGGACCTTTCCACCTCAAGGAACACGTGTTAATCGCGTAGACAGCCAAGATACTGCCGGTTATGGGCACACTTGTGTGACGGTGATCCTCCACCTGAAATTAGCTTAACATGTTATTGCTAGGAACATTATAAAATAAAGAACGGACAAACATTTGTAAAAATACGTTTTTATTCATCTGCAATCATTTTTACGTCAAAACTCGAAGGGAATATTTATTATGTCCTATGTTCACACATTTCCAGTACAATGCAAACCATTTCCGTTCTAGGAATACCAAAGCGTTAAAGTATCATTCCCCATGATTTCCTTATTAGTTCATCACGTTTGTTCACTGTGCGTATATGTTGAAGTCAAGGCCATATATCCAACGAACGCGTCATCAATGTACATCCTGAAATCAGCTATCTAAAATCGATTAATACCAATCAAAAAAAGCCATACACTTGACAAAAATCTTTAAAATGTTGAGTAAAGATGTACCTACAGACGCATTCCAACTTTAGCTCAACAGGAACATATACGACTACAATTGAACCCTCTCACAACCAGTGCTCATCACACCACTTCGGCAAGTAATCCGATAACATTACAAACCACCACTGGGCACGTCATTAAACTCTCACAAACTGTAAAACTAAAATAGTCAAAATTACACACAAAAGTACTCGATACGGCTTAAAAGGTATAACCACATGACATAATATTTTGTCAGTCACCCCGAGCTCTCTGGTTGACTCTCGAGCCACTCCATTACATCCAGCCATCTCTCGGGATCCAACTGCATGGGATCGAAGGTGGAATTATCTTCAGGACTCATTGCAGCACCTTGAACTTCAGCTTTTGATTTCAGTTTCCTATCATTGTGGACCTTCTGATGCTTGTTCATGGTTGATGACCGTGCAAATGCCTTCCCACACACAGAGCACGGGAATGGCTTCTGGCCCGTGTGTGTTTTCTCATGAGCTTGAAGATTTGATGGGTGTGAAAATGTCTTCCCAAACACAGAGCACAGGAATGGCTTCTCGCCCGTGTGTGTTTTCTCATGAGCTTGAAGATTTGATGATTGTGCAAATGTCTTCCCACACACAGGGCACAAGAACGGCTTCTCACCGGTGTGTGTTCTCTGGTGAGTTTGAAGAGTTGATGAGTGTGCAAATGTCTTCCCACACACAGGGCACAAGAACGTCTTCTCACCCGTGTGTGTTCTCTGATGGTTTTGAAGAGTTGACGAGTGTGCAAATGTCTTCCCACACAAAGGGCACAGGAATGGCTTATCGCCCGTGTGTGTTCTCTGGTGAATCTGAAGATGTGATGGCCGTGAAAATGTCTTCCCACACACAGAGCAATTGAAGGACTTCTTGCCTCCGTGGACGTGGGGCTGTGGAGAGCGTCTCTGCTCCATGTGAGCGTAATAACAGCAGCAGTGTTATTGAGTCAAAAGTACGCTATCGGCCGCAAGGATGTTTAGCGTTGAGTTTTGGATTTTGTTAACTGCTAAAACAAGAACGACACTCTAACCGAGACGCAAAAAAATCCCGCTAATTTGACGACGAAAACGTTTAAGAGTTTATCCCCGAAAATAGACACTTACTTGGAGATTCACTATATATCGGTGTCTGAAACCCGTCTGAAGATGTCGCCACGAACTCTCCGAACGCAAAGTCGCCTAACTGTCGACACAGCAATTGTGCTCGCCAAGCTGCGTTGTCTCGCGGTTGAAGGACGATCAGCAGAGCGACGAGTCGAGCGTCCAACCTCATCAAGTTCCCTCTCGAAATGGCATTGAGCTCTGCTTCTGAGCCGCCTTATAACTCCCCCCCTAGGATCCAATCCTTTGTCTTTCAGGATATTTGCATTCGATTCTTAATTTTGGAAGGTACAATCCGCATGTATATTAACATACCGAAGGGTAATGTGCCCATTGTGCTTCATGCATGAATATGTAAGTGCATCTCAGTGTGTAATTGTGCGCTTATTTTGAATAAATGGAAAAACTTTGTCCTCGATTTAAAGTGAATGCATAGAAATTAGCGTGTAACTTTAGAAAAGGAAGAGAGCGGCCTTCTCGACGAGGGAGTGAAACCCAATAGATAATATTCTTTTACAGCGTTACAATGCATAGGTTGTAGTTCATAGGTTATAATATTATGTTTCACTATGATAGAGCTTAACATGTGAGAGTATACAATATCAGAGTTGATCAAATGCGACGATCAAGGGCGTCAATTGGTTAAGTTTGATCAGTCTTTGATCAAAGGCGTCATCCCATCACGGAACACCACCTCCCTGCGTATATTACAGCAACAGAAGCAACTACAGCAGCAACAACAGCAGCGACAACAGCAGCAACATCACATTTCGAGGGCGACGCAGCTACTTTTGATTCTGCTGCCCAGCTGTTTGTAGTTAGGACCTGCTCTCGCAGGACCCCACACGTCTTTGGAAATGATTACGATGATCATGTTTGAGCTGAGAATTAAGTCACTCAAGATTACTTTGTTTAACCATAACTTTAGGTAGGTTAGTGTCATCGGGGCTGTGTGAATACTACTCATGAATGAAATCACACTCCTGTATGACCGACATTGTACTCATTTTGGTTGATCGAGTAGAACAAGGC